TTCATCAGAGCAAAGCATCAAGCCAACATCTTTAAGACAACAGGTTGTCTCGAAACTTGTAGCTCAATAAGAGTGAGACAATGTAGCACAAAGCAGCATGTGCACGTATAACAAGGCGTTGAAGCAAGCACGTAAGTTCAATGCACCGCCACTATTGCCCCTGTCCAGGGCCCCTTTGGCAAGAGATGAGATGTTACGATCCGTGTGGCATATCCATTCGGACGGCCTCGTATCAATTCTGTTCGGCAAGACTTATCCAATAGGGTAGCCGAATATTTGTTCTGAAACTCTGTTCTGAAGATTCTGAGCTACATTCATTTACGGTCGCTTCAGTCTAGTTGTCACTTGCACATGGGTATGGTATATGTGCACTACCGATCACGTGTCACATCTGTGTACGCATGGCGGTCGGCGCGCGTATTGTACGCGACGACTCACACATGACACGAGTGCATCTTACTGGATAATGATGTACACATCGGATGACTCGACTTAGCTCTGTCCAGACTTATCCACGCGGCCAAGTCTCATGTACTGATCACTATGTTCGACTGAGTACCTGATAGGAATACCAACCTGGGTATGTAGTACGCTTCGTACATACCGAACCAGGAAGGATGGCGTTGAGGGAGAAGGTCAATGAACAAGATCACACTTCTGGTGCTGATCTGAAGTAAGCAGTTTTTAAGAGCGCGCAGCTGGAGCGCAAGACAAGGGCTTCCGCAAGTGTATTCTGATCCGCTATAGGGCCAGCGTAGCCTTATAGGCCTGTAGCGCATCACTGGTATCAGAGGTTTTCCTCTTTCCTTCTTCTTGAGGAAAGGGCCCCTCTCCCTTGCTTCCAGCTTAGCAAAGCTCCTACTGCATGTCTGAGAACTCCTCAAGCAGTAGCGAGGAGGAGGAGGTATGGTATAGGTTCCCAGCTTGTAATTGGGAATTCACCTTCTGTGGTCAGCTCAGGGCTATCCGCCCTGAAGGTCCCTTCCATCTCCCCGTCGGAGTGTTCCTCGCTAGGAGGAACAACCAGACCTGTCATTGGGAGATAGACTCATCGTGTGAGGTGCGCCAGGGGGACACCATTTTTGACGTGGAGCGCCACCTGGGGCTGCATAGGTCAGGGCTCTCGGCCGGAAGGCTGGCCTCCCTGTCAGCGGGGAAGACCTGGTTTCACGAGGCGAAGATCCGGGGCAAGCAGGGAGTGGACCCCGGGCCTTCATACAGCGGGACGCCAGGGTAGAGGATCTGCAGTCCTACTTTTGGGATAACCAGATCTTCACTATCCTGTACCTGTAGATACGAACATACTTACATTGTATTTAACAGATACATTGTAAGTAGACCGTGACCCCATTCTGGTGGTTTCTCTCTCACTCATGAGCACTGGCCAAGATTTGGGGACTGCATTGTCTTCTCTGATCTCGCGGGTTGCTTTTCTGGAGATTGAAACGGGGGTGAAGAAAAAGGCCCAGTCGTTTTTTGTTGGGTCTATTTCTATTCCTATCGTTGCTGTCTCTGACAGTCCTGTATCTGTTTACGCCTATGCAATTGCGTTCATCCTCTGGAATAGAGGCAACCGTTGTAACGCAGCAAGCTCCTGAGGCGATGGCACCGTCTGCTGCTGTTACTGCCTTTCTGACTGAGTGGGCTTTTGCTGATAGTGAAGATGCTCGCATTGCCGTTGAGGATGCACATTTTGCTAGCCCAGACTCAGCTGAGGTGGTAGAAATTCTGAAGAAAAGGTCGGCACGTGATCGTGCAACTATGACAGCTCTGGTGGCTTGGGTTGAGCCTAGTGATGCTAACGCCGTTGCTGCGAGAGCACAAGCTGATGCTGCCCTGGCAGCACAAGCCTCTGGGTCTGAGAAGTTTAAGCCGGCTCCTCCTCCTAGGTTTGAAAACAAGGAGAAGGACATGGAAATCAAAAGATGGGTTCCCATTGTTGAGGAGCATTATGCAGGCTGTCCTGATGTTGATTACCTGCGTCTGGCAAGCTCTCATCTGTCTGGCAAGCCCAGATCATTCTGGCAGAGCAACCTTTATGCTCGCAAATCTTCTGGAGAGCCTATTGCTGACCCTCGGGCTTTCTTCCGAGATACCATGTACTCTGGCTATGGTCTGAAGGAAGAGGTTTAGGGCTACTAGGATGCTTATCACAAGCTTAAGCAGGGTCATGATCGGGATATTTTCGAGTATAACTCTGAGTTCGAGCAAGTCATGACCGATCTGTCTAAGGAGGTCACTGACGAGCCCGTTAAGATAGAGAAGTACAAATCTGGTATGCAGCCAACTCTGAGGGAACTGGCAAGGGTGTCGCCAGATGGCACTCGCTGGACGTCTCTGTCCTCTCTGATCTCCTAATGTACACTCCAGTGGCCAACTATCAAGGCCAGGCTGGAGAGGGAGAGGAAGCCAGGTGGCCACAAGGTTGAGAAGGTGGCGGGGAAGCGCAAGTTCACATCCCCCTCTCGGGGACGTGGAGCATCTGCTGGGCCTCGGGAAGGCCTCTCGAGCTTCCGAGCACAAGAACCAACGGCTGTCTGAGGAAGAGAAGGAGAGACGTAGAGTCAACAAGCCGTGCAACATCTGTGCTAGCCCAGATCACTTTGTTGATACGTGCCCTGATCGCACAACTCCCTGGGTTCCTAAGAAGCAGTTCAGGAAGGGCAAGAAGGATTTCTCTTAGCTTCAGATAGTGTAGGACAGCTACCTGAAGCAACTGAACCCTCGAACAGTGCTGTGGACATCTCGTTTGATGACTTTAAAAGCATCATTGCTTTATTGGGCAAGGTCGTTGATCTTGGAGTTCATTCAACAATTGATTCCATAGCAACTGAGTGGTGTCATATTGATGATTTCTGCAAGCAACCTCTGAAGGCAAAGCATGTCTGGATCAATGCCCCCTCTTTTGCAGAGTTGAGGGAAATGTGATTGTATTTTCAATCTGAGTATCTTGCAGCCAGCAAGACTACTTCTGCATGCTTGCTTGTTCCTTGCAGGGCATCTATTCCAGCTGTACTTCTGAAAGGTTGGAGAGAGATTCTGCTCCTGCCACGTGGCTCTGTCGTTCGTAAGCAATCTGCTGACGGTGGTTGGCAAGATACTGTGACAAAGGAGGGCCTACGTGTTTTGTATATGCCTCATGTTACTGATGAATCTGCAGCAACTCTGGATGGTGCAATCCATCATGCAGTGCTGTCTGCTGCACAGATTAACTCTAACCCTGGTCGGCGGATGATGTTTGCAGGTCGAGCTGCTGGCACGAATGCGAGCATCCTATTCGACTCTGGAGCTTCGGATAAGTTTGTCTCATCCAAGTTCGCGAAGCAAACTGGAATTTCTGTTGATCCAACTCCTCGTGAAATTCGGTTAGGCTCTAACGAAGTTGAAACCACTGAGAGCGAGGCTAACGTGTATCTGAAGTTGGGAACCTTCCAGTCTGCTTTTCGCTGCTCTGGATGCCTTTGCTCCACGAAGTAGATGTAATTCTGGGTCAGAAGTTTATGACTGGCCATAAGTGCATTCTGGATTTTGAGCGTTCTGCTGTACTGGTTAAGAAGGGTAGACGGCGGGTTACCGTAGCTAGAGCTCCTCTGCACAGGGAGGTCAGACCTGGGGTTAGTGAAACGCCACTAACTGTGCTCAGTGCTACGCAGATGAAGCGCGCGTACAGGAAGGGCCTGAGCGTGTTCCTCGCTGTCATCAAACCCATCGAAGGACCTGAAGTACTGGATGCCGCTGTTTCTGGTCAACCTGGCCAACCGCCCCCTCAGGGAACGTTCGACAGTTTCCACATCTGCACCCCTTCCGCTAAGGAATCTTGGGTTGCTGGCATGGTCTCGGAGTATTCTGATGTGTTTAAGAATCCTCTGCCGATAGGGCTTCCGCCCGATCGAAAGGAAGGTCACTCCATTCCTACGGAACCTGGACATCCTCCTCCGTTTAGACCAATGTAACGGTTGTCTCCTTTGGAATATGAGGAACTTAAGAAGCAAGTCACAGCTTTTCTGGAAGCGGGAATTTTGGAACCGTCTAAATCTCCGTATGGCTCTCCTGTTCTCTTCGTACCAAAGACTAACTGCAGAGGCTTACGACTCTGTGTAGATTACAGGGCTCTGAACGCCGTCACGGTTAAGAACTGGT